GAGCCACCGCAATTTTGAATTCTGCCAAAAGGAGTATTAGCAAGCATAATTGGGACACATCGAATGATACTCGCTTGATCGAAACACAAGTTGATGTGAAGTTACCTCAAATAAACAGAGAGTTGCTTGACGTACATGGGTCAACGGAGGAAGGATGACCTAGAAAGAGGTATGTTAGAAGTGAAACCTCAAGAAAGGGATTTTATTCTGTCTCTCACCCTCGGAGTGACAGTGCGCTGGGAATGTCTTCAAAACTGGATAGCAATGCAAAGTCATTTATGGCCTTAAAGATAAAAACTTGAACACCTAACTCATCGAGTATCGCCCAGGATTCCACAGCGTGCGTAAAATGACTGTGATTGCTACTCAGTGAATGTTGATGAATAGGTACAGATCAAGAATAAGAAACGACCTAGCGTTACTAAAGAAATTTCAATACACCAAACGGTAGTTGAGAAATTGGAGACTTATCGTAGTTTATAAACTAGGTAGCCAAATAGACTTGTGACAGAATCAAATCAGGCTGCTAAAAGTAGCATCCAAACAAGTGAGTGACATAAAACTAGAGAATCGACATAAACCAACGGGATCATGAGTATTTGTCCGCAAAGAATTGTCGCTAGTGGACCGTATGAAAAGACGAGAAATTGAAAAAAGTAAAACTAGGGCGAGATAATCGCGAGAAGGGCCTTAGAATTGAAGGTTTTTGGGTGGTAACGCCTTGACAGATGATGACGCTGAAGCTACTCTGGGTGCAGCACTAATCAATTTAAATGTTCTTCGGATCTTCTTCGAGTCCTTATTACATCTCATAATAACCCATTATGAAGATGATACCCCAATCCTCTATTATGCGCCACCCCTAGGTAAAAGTGGTTCTAGACTTTGGTTTCCATGTAATTTTCGATAATGAGGATGTTTCAGCCCAAGTAAGACCAAACGGCTGGAAAGCAAATATGCAAGATATTATACATATAGCTTCCTTGGTAGATTGGTCAATAGAACCGGAATCCCTCGTTGAAACGATTTGGGATGTGGTGGGGAATTTATGGGTAAAGGTCACTGCACCATACATGCCTTGAACTACACCGAGGGGTTCGACAAACTCCACCGTGGTTCAGTAGACAGTTTAGCACCCTTCTCTGTAAGAGGCGAAGAACGTGAGAGAGACAGGTTAATGGATACTGACGAAACGAAATTTTAATGTTGGGAAGCTCGAAATATTTTTACCTCGACCCTCCGACAATCCAGCACGTTGTGCGAAGAAGAACATGTCAAAAGACCTACTACAGGACCGATGGAAGATGAAACATTCCAGTATCATGGAAAGACAGTAGTACTGCATCATCAGTGGAGGAAGATTATAGTGAAGCTCGGTTATTCTAAAATTACTTTGGCAATGTATATACCGCGGCCATACACTGCTCTTCAGCCTGCTCCCATACACACATACTGGACGCTGTCTTTTGTCTGTTAACTGACCTTGATATAGGCAAATCCACGGATTACTACGGGAATTAGCTAATTGTGCCGCGAGTCCCTTAAGTATATATTTTAATCTATCTGTAACCCAGGGTCGATCACCTAGAGACTAGGACAGTGTTATAGTAATTCGTATCTTTGAAACATATACGAGACATAAACCTGAGAACTATAAACTCGTAAACCTAACTAGCGTAGTTTTTAAAATCTTAACAAAGATTATTCAGGAGGCGTTGTCTAAGTATCTCGACGAAAACCGGGTTCTTTCTGAAAATCAGCATGACTTTAGAACCGGCGATTTTTATCTCGCTAACCGAACTTTACCTATAAGTGTCATCTACATTAACTTCATTAAGGTTTTTTTAAAAAGTTTCTCACAACCAACTGTTATATAAATCAAGTAATATCGCATTTGAAGGCGATTTGTCAATGCGAATAAAACACTTTAGGTAGTTTTAAACTCGAAGTCACCACGTAAACCTAATATATCGCAAAATGGAAAAACAGTCATGTTCACGTTCATGTGGTTATTTGACTTGTCATATTATGATTATTTTTTATTAAGAAACTAGCATGTGCTGTGAATTTTGCTGTGGCTGTAATTTTTATTTGCCGCCTCTGAATGTGTTGCGCCGGATATAAATTGCACCCTGGAATAATATTTTAAGTTATAATTAGTTTAATCACATCGTTGTTTTTAAGTAGACCTTCAGTGAATAATGTTACTGGAGAAAGAGTCATTGTGCTGTAAAATACTGTAAACTGTTGCCTTCATTTTAAAAACAGTATCTTTTGTCCTCTGTTAAGTCGTACTGGCCTATAGTTTGTGTTCTGAGTTTATGGGCTTAGTTAACTACATTTAACTACTTTAAGTAACATGTATGTGCAAATGAAACAATAAATATGACACATGCTTAATTTAGTATTCTTGGTTATCGTGTAACTAACTTCGTTAGATACAATCATACTATACTTCGATATAGTGTTTGGGGCATATAATGAAGGCGATCAGTTTAGTAAGTAGAGTTACTCACCCATTTCCTTTAGCATGCCGAAGCATCACAACCAGAAAACGACCAGTGTGAAATTATGTATGCATTACGGTGTATGTAACTCCAGGAAGATAATGTTGTGAGCTTAGACTTTGTGCAGAATAGGAGGAATCACGAGGACGTTATATTGATATATCATGTTTACATTTATTTATACATCACATTTAAGACTGATGAAACTACAATATCAGCCCGCTTTTAATGAATATACCGATTCTAATCAATCTGCTTGCAAATATGAAGAAAAGTAACATGAATGCTGTTGTTGCCATGTATTATAAGGTAGCGTTCATTAAGTGCACTTAACAACCGGAACTAAATTACGGTTATGAATCTGTTTGATGATTAAGCGCAGGAATTAAATTTCGGGTTTTCATCACGAACTGACATAAGCTTTAATGGCAAAAATCTATTTATCCAAATGGGTGAGTGAATTTCGCGCCAAAATTCGAGACCTGTTATCTTATACATGATTATTTCGTCCGTAAATTATAGTCTCGCCCACATCTTCGTTATTTTCTTAGAAAACCTACACTCCGGGACTTCTTATAACATATTCCAACCACCACGACTTGTCACGGAAGTCTGTGAATGGACACGCATCTAATCCCATAGATGCTTGATGGCATGCCCTGATATGCAAGCAGTGCCTTTACTAGACTTGCGGAGCACTAAGAACATGGTGATACCGAGTAAAGTATTGCACAGGGGTCTACGCGCTCCCTTAGGTTTCCGGTGAAAATACCGTTACAGTCCTAATAAATATGTCATAACCCCCACCTATCGCCATCATAGCAAATAAGCCTATATTCACTAAATATAAAGCTTATATTTATCGGGAGTAAGATTTGTTGAAATAACTCGTGCTGAGAATTCTATGTTGTACCAAAATATAATATTGAAAAATCCATTAATAACGACAGAATTTAAAAATGAGAGTACAACGGCAATATACAGCAGATACACATGGCGCGAATTATTTTCATCGATTACCTGAGACATAGAATATGGATATTAACTTAACAAATACATTTAAAAAGACTTTAATTTCTATTCTGAAGAAAACAATGGGAAAGTTCTACTGCTACACCATTTCAGCACTGTGCCGATATGATCTCATATCTTAAGATACGTGCCCATTGCGCATGACTAATCTATTAATGTTAGGTAGTGTATTTTCAATAAAAAACTTTCTGCAACAGATCGATAGCATCTCTGATTTGGTTCTGGCTTGTGAGGTGCCTGGGTTTCATAATCCTTTCGAAAACATCACTGGTATCCACAATTACTGGGTAGGCAGTATTAGTTTGACTCGTTATTAAGTTTGAATTATCCATAATACTGAAGAAAATAACAAACCGGAGATCATTTTCTTTGATTGCTCCCGATAACATCATAAATGACAGTTAGAAACGAACATGTAGACAATGAGTGTCCCATGCGGCAACAACACTAAGTTTAGCTGAAAAAACTAACTATGGCTTTCGATATCTACGAAATAATACTAATAATAAAACGGATTAAGATTTTATGGCATAAGACAAGCGAGCTTGCCTGAAGAAATAGACTGACTTTAGTAGCAGCAGAAAAACCCTAGAAAACTAGGCCGATTCAAAGAAAATTTGTGACAACACTTAGAGCATTACACTAACAACGGGTATTTCAGCACTGCAAAACACCAAATTAAGCAGCGACAGAAAAAACAGTGGGAAAAAACGGAACGAAAAAAATTGACTGCCGATGCTTACAAAGGTGTTGGATATAATAATTTCCACTTCATTCTGATTTGTCGCCATGCAGACTGCTACAATTACGAAATCGAGTTGAGTTTACCTTCAGCCAGGACCTCTCAGTCGAGCGTCAGCAAGGTGTAAGGCTCTGCTTAGATGATTAATCTAGGCATCCGTACGATCTTTTTTGAGTCATCCTTAGCTAAGACTTCAAAACTACTGCAAACTACTGTGAGATAGCCGATAGAAGTTTTAGAACCTTATGGTCAATATGTAAGGCCTTTAGTCATGTCGATGCTAAAACACTTTTGATTTCGTATACAGTACTCGTTCGTCCTAAACTCGAGTATTGCATACAAGTGGCTAGCTCCTGCCAAAATGAGGCAGTGAGTTGTCGGAAAGGGTTCGGAGAACCGCAACTAAGCTAATTCTCGGGATGGTAAAGCTCCTGTATGATGCCCGACTGGCCAAACTGAACCTATTTCCATTGTCATATAAAAGAACGAGAGGTGACTCGACCACAGATTTTAGATTACTTAGTGGTAAATTTGCACCTGATATGCCCTCAATCTTCCTGTCTTTCGGAACAGAAAACTTACGAGGACACTCTAAAGCGTTCACAATCCCAGAACAGATTACTTATCAGCTGATTATCGACTTCCCCGTCGAGTCATCAACGAATGGTATGCATTAACTCAACACGTGATTGAAGCTCGATCTGTCTACGCTTTCAAAAGAAAGTTGAATCAACTGAGAGACCACCACTACCAAGACTAACGGAAGCTTCCTGATCTCCTGTCCTTTTCAAACTGGAACTGAATTTATTTACATCATCAGATAGCGCGCTCTAAATACTGTGTGCGTTACAATGTCATGAAAGGCAGTTCTAATTCCAGAGAGTTATGGCTTCTGAAGAACTCAATAACCTAGTTGGGAGCATAGTCATTTATTAGTAACAAATTCTCTTTTTTTACAGAGAAAACCATCTGCAAGACGTTCGAAGCCTAATATGGCGGCTCTAGTAGACCAGCAGAGGCTTTTCGAAAATCCTTGGAGTCGAAAGTCCTTATTCCAGCTAGAATCACTCGTACCAGTTGTATCTTTGCATGTAAGAGTGTTTCATAATGTTCTTGATACTTGTTTTAGGATGTAGGATCTCACCCAAGTAGTATTGAACGGGTTGATATGACTTCAACATCCCTTGCTGAAAAACGTTTCCTCAAACATCCATCTGTTAGTTTCAAAATACACAAGTTTTGTTTTGTACTCTTACTCTATTTTGTCACCCAGTTTTGAGCAATTGTACGGGGTTCATCTTCCCGAAATTAGTTGATGTAAAAGTGATAGCTGTATAACTTACTACTGAAATGTTATGTTTAACAGTTTTTTAATATAGCCCTTCAATATGTGTAGCGATAAGCCTAGTTTGCTTGGTTATATGCGTCTGAATGCATCACTTGCGTAACGAAGTCTGGTCACACTGCTGATTCATAGCTACTCAATTAATTCTGGGATCCTATTTTTTTCATTAACTGTGACCAGGAAGTCTTTCCCTTTTAATATGAATTAACCACATTCACTGGCTTAATAAAATGTTGGTATGTCTTAGTCGTGTAACTCAGCTTCCTACTACCTTCGTCGTACACTGGTAAGCGCATCTACAGAAGTTTGAGATAACAGATCATGGTTCTTATCATATGAATTAATAGTTATACAACATTAACTAGCTTCTACTTTGTTTGAGACTTTCCCATTTATATTAGCATCGTTTTCTTTGTGGTTTTGTTCTGTTTTAGAAATATTTCGAACACCCCTAGTCAAATATTATAAATATAGTGGTTTTTTAAACATTACATATATTAGTCTCGTCCCACAGCTTTTCGTTAACATATGATATTTCACTTCTCGAGTGAGTTTATTTTGTAATAGTGGGGATCCGGGCATATCCAAACAAAAATCTCTTAGGACAGCATTAATGTTAAAACCAGATTACTTTCAGCCTAATTAATGGGTATAAGCAGTTAATGAAGTGACTGCTTTAAACAGTGCACATTACCTAATCTTGTGAAACTTGGGAGTTGTGTTACTGCTAACCGGTCAAACAGCAAATAAATGTTCTATCGGTTTCTTACTTTGTACTCTTATTATTTCACATGCTGTCAGTCTGTTTTCGTCATATGATTTCATTATAAATTCTATTCAATTCGAATCCTTTTCCATCATTTTTCGGCATAATGTGCTTTTGCTGTGCATGTTTAGAAACTTTAGCAGACCCTGTCTTTTACCAAATATTCTTTCTTAATTGTGTTTAGTTGGCTTGCCAACCTAAGTAGTGTCAAGCTCAAGGCTAAGTGGCATATTTGTGATACCTTTTATTTATGGATATTCAATTTTTAAGCATATTTGTATTGTCGATTGTTTCCCTTAGCACTCAGTTAAGTCCGTCAAGGATGGCGACAATATGACTGTAAACCGTGGCTCCCTATGTGTTTACTCATTTAATAAATTGGAAGCGAATAAGATTCATGGTCAGGTATAGTTTCCATGTATTTTTATTGCTGCATTATATAAATTACTACTATGAGGCAAAGTCCATAAGGATTCGCCATATAAGTCTCTTTAAATGTTACCACGTGAACAAAATATTTAGAAGAATTAAACCAACATATAAATGATTACTTTACATGTGACAGCTAATAAAATGTTCTGAATATTTAGGATCTAATAACCTAGATCTTAAATATTTTATGTTAAACCACTAGCTATAGCAATTAAACTATTATTCTTTTTATCAAGTTGTTCCATTATAGTAAAACTTGTAGGAGGACTTATTCCTTCATCTCCTATCATATGCCCATATTCGTTTGGAAAGTTTCAAACTAACCTGGTCATAATATGAATCATTGGACGACGAAGAAAGTTTTTATGTTGTACCACAAACTAAACTAGGAGATGTCATAAAAATACTGTCTTTCTTCTCTTCAGTCACTATTCTTAAATCTGCTAGTTCTTTAGTATGCGAGGGTGTTTCACGAAAGGTAGTTTACAAACTCATTAACAATGCAATCGACACTTCAAATGGAATTTCGTCATTGTTATGGAGGAAAAATTCAAGAGAACTGGCACATTATAAGCACACTTTGGGATTGCTAAGGTTAGTGAGTAAAGTGCTGATTCCCAGAGGAGGAAAAGCCATACGATTTGGCGGACTTATAGTTACTTATAAGATCAATTTTTATGTATAAGCCTCAAGTCAACTGATATCAAAGCAATGTACAATCGCTCTGTAAAATAGATTTGTTTCTTTTATAAAATATAATGTCTATATACAAAATATATAAAGAAGTGAGTATTATCAGATTCCATATTTGCTATCGGAGGATAGTAATTTTTCAGGTCATTCACCAACTAATTAAATTAAAACCTGACTATCGATCTGAATTCTTACCAGTCATATCAGAGGGATATCATAGAAACGGAAAAGAATCAGTAAACCTTAACCGTTTAAAATAAGTTTTAAACCAGGTGGCTTAAAATTTCACTGATTTTTAAGTTGCTTAAAGGTAAACTTAAAAAGACAATATTTGTTTTCAGTCTTTGTACTCACTCATACTGATTGAATTTGAAGTGATGTAGGTTATAAGTTCTGCTAAAAGCTATGAACAATATTCGCAGTGGTCATGTACAAATCTGACAACCTTGGTTCCAGCTGAGCTTTGATATTGAATTGTAAACTTTTTATCTCAAGATTAGTCTTGTAAAGCAATGATTTCAATGCTTGAGGAGAAAAATACTTTGGAAGATATTCTTCTTGATTTTGATTCAAAACACTGGAAGTAGTGATTGTGTAATACAGTTTTGTTGTAACAGTTGACCTTTCGTACTTTTTATTATCTACCACAAAAGGGCGACTGATGAGAATCTTACGTAGCTTGCATCTTTACGATTTACATTTATATAAGGTTTCTAAGTGGTCACTGTTTCTCCGAACAACGATCATGATTTAGTTCAGGCACCCATCTTTTTGTGCGTCCAGGTAAATGTTGGTAGCATCTCAGATAAGGAGATCAAAAGAACGGTACTGGGTTCGAGTTTCGAAGTGAACTTCAACTCTGGGATGCAGATGACGAGTCCCAAATAGAACACAACGTACGTCTTGGATTCCACTGCTAGCCACCATCCATCCTTGCTTACAAAGCTTGTGACTTAAGGCAATATTGAGGCAGTCTGCACAGGATTCTCATAGGCCAACAAGAGACTGATCAATTGCAGTCCTAAACAACAATCGGAAGATATAAGCAAACAGTACCGAGTGAATTCATTGCAACATTGTCTAAACGTTACATTTATCTTAATTTAAAATAAAATTGAGAGGTGGTCTGTTACTTAAGATTAGTAAATGTTAAACAACATCGGTGCATAATGCATTTTTCTTCATTGCTTGTGAACACTAGAAAATAAGGAGCCAATACGCAAATGACTTGACACCTCGGTAATAATTGAAGTTGTAATGTGAGTATTGAAAGTAACAAATTCATTCATAATGTGACAGTTTACACTATTAACATTGATTTCTGATGTTCAGTAACCCGTTCGAGGAAAGTAAACTTCGGAAGCAATGGATTAGCGATTTTGAGAAATCTTAGGTTAAACTTTCAGGTAACTTTCATTTTTTGACTCTTTGGTCAGAATACTGACCTAAAAGTTTTAACCGCCAATTAATTGCCTATGAGTTTGGGAAATGTAGTGTTAGTAGATAATTGGTGCTTTAGACAGTTCTATGTAGCTTTCGGAATGATGATCCTTAATTAATCGGGAAGTTGATATTAGTCTGATTATAAATTGTGAGGGTTAATTTTGTTAACTGGTTTAATTTTTTTAAAAAAGTAAATGAAATCTCTTTTTGGTAGCCATAAAAATAAGCTTGATAAACACTGCATCTGAAAAGATAGAATATTTCATAAGTCCCATCTGTAGCTGAGTTGTATCGACAGAAAACCAGGGGGCGAGTTTCTATTCTCATATCTGGCTTAGAATTTTTCTATTCACAGTTGATCTGATTCTGAAACAAGTTCAGATGTACAGACTTCACACCAGTCAATATAAAACTTGTATTTAAGACAATTAAGACTTCTGATCTTCATTTTTCTGCTCACAATAATATTGAGTAGGCAGTTCATTTCGTTTGTTCCTTTCTCCATACTTATATTAGCTTTTATGGATAATATTTTGTGAACTGACAAGAATCAGGAGCACAATCTACACTTTCCCATTTTCACCTTTTATTAACAGCTTAAATTAAGATATGAACATGTACGAACGATCTTTCGTCGATAAATATTTCATGAATCTCAATGATAAAAGCATAGTCTATCCAAGTAGAAGACATGTGTGGATTGCAGGTTTTTAATCATAGATATCTTGGAAGCTGGGGTATCACTCAACACCAAGTAAAATGTCATGAGGTTAAGGCTAGGATATCATCGGTTGATAAAACTGAATTGTCAGCCAATTAGATGTCTGGAACGTATGATACGTGAACCCAACAGTGACGTCGACGTGCGATGTTAGAAAAAAGCTGGAGGTGGCCAAAAAGATATGAGAGCCTTTGAAACCATTGTCCGTTGTTCTGACAAACGTTGGTTACGCCAGATAATCACGACCATTAGTTAGAAACTGGGTAACGCTGTTCAAAGTTTCTCTTAATGACACTGACGCATTAACTCTACCTTTCTATCGATAACCAATGCCGGTATTTTCTCACATCTTTACACTTTCTCCCCTCAATTCATATTCTCAATATTTAGTTCTTAATTTTGAGTGATAGCACACCAATTTACATCCGATGTTATTTGTCTTACTAATTTCATCCCGTTGAGCTAATGCAGTGTGACAACTTGGCAAACGCTCATTTACCCCAGGTTCTATGCCGATTATGGCTAACTGACTAGAATGATTCTTCATGTCTGACCTACATGAAAGTCCTCGTTTACAGTAAAGAGTGAATATTCTTAATTATGGAGTTGTGTCGAAAGTTTTACGCCGCTACTAGATAAAACCTGAATACAAAAACAGTCTTGTAATATGTACTGGGGAGATATTCTAATGTCTATTTGGTACCGAGTATACAACCTAGCAGTACTTTTTTTTGTAATACAGCTTTAAGATATGTATGTTAGTGAAATAAGATTTTTTGGTGCCTGAATATTGCTAGTTTTAATTTATTCCTTTTACTTAAACCGTGACTTAGGTAGCATCGCTAAGAGGATCAAATGAAAATGGTTTGAGTATAAAAGTGGGACAGGAAATTGTGTCTTAGTGGTGAAATCGGTCTCGAGGTATCTGATTATTGATTTGGTCAGCTAGGAAAAGTTTAAATTTACTAAGTTAGGTCAGTAGGATTCCTGTAATTACTGATTGAAAATTCCTTTTAATCTAACCTCAAAATCAACCACATCGTTGCAAATTGATTATCTTTGTCCCGAATATTGAGTTCATAATTATCTTATACGTTATCCTACTATTAGCCACAATTCATGTGCTTTGATGTACTCCTGGAAAATATCTTTATCAAGGTAATCCTCATGGGATTCACATATACTAGCAGAGAATAATCAAATTTCGGTCTTGACTATCAACAAGATAACTCAAATGCTTACTAGTATTGACGTCAAAATCATATTCTTTGGAGAAGTTAGTAGTTCAGTAAGTAACATCGGCATTTGACGAGAAAGATACGTGGTGTGAGTCTAAACGTAGGCTTAAACACTGAGTGTGGCAGACAAACCTAACTGATGAGTTTTAAATAGGACGAAACATACGTTCTAAATTTCACTACCAGCCACAATTCCTATAAGTTATTAATCTGTCTAGTTATTTTCTTAAGTTGGACATTCAGTCCGTTTCATTAATTTACCTACTTTTTAAAGGGACATGCGAACTCATTTATGTATCATAACTATAAATTGCTCTATTTCTGTCTGTCTATATAATATCTAGTTATTGCTTACTGACTCATTCCTTTCGGTTATGATAATCGTCGAATTTGTAAAAGACTTTTTTACATTATCGTCACACATTTTCATCGTTTACATTTATTACACAGTTTTATGGAAATCTTGATAATCCCTTAATGTGACTGTTGTTTTAGTTTTGCGCCTAATTTCCTCTGACAGTTTGCAATGTTTTATGTGTTTGTCAACCTATCTATTCTATTGTTAAGTAGCGCATTATCAAAAGTAATTCCACAAAAAAATATGAGCAATAAAATATTGCGGTGAGTTCTCTTTTATTTTAAATTAGATGGACAGAATACTGTTCTGGACCAATCAAAATCATGATAATAATAATAATAATATGCGTCAAGACTTCATTAATATAAATCAATCTACAATCATTTATTTTCAGGTTTCTCGTTGAATTAGTCTTACACAAATGGCTCGTCGTTTAAGTATCTAATATTGTCTAGGATTGATTAATGTTTGCACGGGTGGAGCAGTAGGTTAATAATGGTAATAATTAACTCATCACATA